TCCTATAGTTTCCATCGCTAAGTGTGTAATCGCATGTGTGTGTTGGCTGCTCTTCAGAATGTGGTTTTTATATTTCAAGTAATTTTCCTTGATTCATACATTTTCTTTTAATCTGCACACATTCTCCCCAGTGGCTCCCTGCTCTGCTTTCAAAGATCAACTTTTACTACATGCCATGGAGGACATAGCGTATGTTCCTGAAACTTTATTTTTTCTTACAGCTTTTAAAGATACGTACTTCCCCTGGTCCCAAAGGATAATGTTCCATTTGCCTTGGGTATAGCATTTTTTTTTTAATTTCAGGGCTGATTTTTGTTTCTGGTTTATTCATCTTTTCATGAGGAGTTTGGTTAAACACTGCATTTGCTGACAGAGTGTATCCTCCTCAGGTCTAAGGCCTTGGAATGGTTGATCTGCCCTAATCTAGTATTCTGATTCCTAGGAAACTTAAATATTTGTTTAAATTATGAAATACATCATACACATAAAAGGATGTGTAAAATAAGTTACAAAGTATAAATAGACGCCTAGGAAGCTCTCTGGCCTTGACTTCCATGCTGTAGGTAATGGGACTACCCACCGTGCCACTCCATGTCCTCTCCCCTGTGCGCTGTGGTTTAGGAATTATAATTCGGAGAACAAAGGGCAGTTAGGATCAGAGAAAAGACAGGTAGGTTGATTTTTCTTTTGCTACGTAAGAAAATAGTACCTGAGGAGTAGAACAACTTCTGCTCCATTTTTTTTCCTGGTTGAGATAGATACTGCATCTAAAAAACAAGGGTATGTTGTGTCTGTCCACTTTATGCCAATTGTCTGCTTAAGCATGCTCTTAATCCAGATTAATCTGACCGGAATTCAGTAGAAATTCTTTGATGCTTGCAAATGACCAGGTGATGGACCTTAATCCTTGCTTTTCAGAATTGTTTTGAAATAGAAACTCCATTTCCAATACAATGAATCTACTGAGTCTCTCTCTGTGCTGCTTCTAGTATTTGTAAAATGGGAAAGTAGGGGGAAAGTCATAGCGGAGGTTCACATTCACTGCTACTTGTAGCGTCCATTGTGCCAACATAGAAAATAAAACTAAGACGAGGAAAATGTAGTTTGAGGATGAAAGAAGTATCTGGGACATCCACCCAAGAGTGTGTACTGGCCTCCAAACAGCGGAGAAGCACAAAGCGTGCTCTCTCGGAGAAAAGCTCGTTTTCTATAGGAAAACCTGCTAAGGAGATTATACGGTAACCAGACTTTTAATTCTAAATTTAGAAATTCTTATCAGATTTGTTTTGTTCAAAATTATTTGAACCAGTTAAGAAAAAGGAACATTGCCTCTTTCACATCATTCTAAATGTTAGATTAAAATCTGCAAGACGTGCTTACAAAACTTTTTAATTAAGTCACCGATACATTTGTACTTTGTCTTGTCTATTTTTCATTTTGGTAACATCAAAATAGAAACAAGAGACAACTGGAAGTCAAGTACAGAAATATTTTAGCAACCATGGACCCTTCTAGGGGCCACTATGAAAAATAAGAATCTATTTCCAATAGTACTTTTCACAAAGTATGCGTTGTTTCAACGCAAATGGCTAAAGATAAAGTAGACATACCACACTGGCTTGACAGAAGTAATCAAGAGGATAGGAAATAGGTGTAAGTTTAACAATTATAGAAATTTAGAAAAGACGACTGCAGATACGAATTCAGTGTCTTTGTTGTTGTTTATTTCTTTTAGGCAGAATTCTTCTCAAAAGATGTGTTATGGCAAGATTTCATTCTTTTTCATGACAGAGTAATATTCCACTGTTATAAATGTACCACATTTTCTTTATCCAGTTGGCTATTGATGGGCACTGAGGTTGCTTCCGTATCTTGGGAATTGTAGATAATGCTGCGGTAAACATAAGGGTGCATATATCTTTCAAATTAGAATTTTGGATTTTTTAAAAAATAAATATCCAGAAGTGGAATTGCTGGGTCATGTTAGCTCTATTTTCAATTTTTTGAGAAACCTCCACACTATTTTCCATAGTGGCTACACCCATTTACATTCCCACCAATAGTACATGAGGGTTACCTTTTCTTAATATCCTCAACACTCATTTGTTGATTTATTGATATTCTGATAGGTGTGAGGCGATATCTCCTTGTGGTTTTAATTTGCATTTCCCTGATGAGTAGTGATGTTGAGCATCTTTTCATATATTTATTGGCCATCTGTATGTCCTCTTTGGAGAAATTCCTTTTTAGGTCCTCTTCCCATTTTTAAATTTGGATGGTTTGGATTTTTTTTTTTTTGGTGTTAAGTTGTATGAGTTCCTTATATCTTTTGGATATTAACCCATTATTAGATATATCATTGGTAAATGTATTTTCCCATTCAGTAGATTTTTTGTTTTGTTGCTAGTTTCTTTTGCTGTGCAAAAACTTTTAAGTAATCCATTTTCATTCTTTTGCATGTATCTGTCCAGTTTTCCCAATACCATTATTGAAAAGACTGTCTTTACTCCACTGTATATTCTTGCCTCCTTTGTTATTTTTATGCACATGGGTTTATTTCTGTGCTCTCTATTCTGTTCCACTTATCTACATGCCTGTTTTAAAGTCAGTAAAAATAAAGACAGTCATGTTTATATAAATATGAAAAATAATTAAGTTTGCTTTTATAAATAATACTCCCATAATTCTGATATGTTGCTTCCAGAGATGGGTGTGGACAGGTAGAATGTTGAGACTTCTGGTTGATAGTTACTGAAGTAGATACCCACCTTTTTGCTTAATATTTTTGTTTTTTAAATGTCTCATTTGAACAAAACTAAATGTATCACAGTTATTCAAATTTGGCATATGAATTAAAACTTCTTTGTCTAAGTCCATATGAAATTTGACATATTAAGTTTAATGTTAAAATGTATCTGGCCTCTACACATTGCTTTACCATTTTTTCTCTTGCTTTCTACCCATTCATGAACACCTACTTTTAATAATTATTTACAATATTTCTCACCCAGTAATAGAATTTAGTTATGTATTAATCATTAAGCAACCTTAACTGCTATGATGAAGATTGTGCCAGCAAGTTGTGATTTCCTTGTAACCTGAGCTGGGAAGGGGACTCGCAGAGCATAGCGGGGTAATAAAAAGTGACATATTGGTGTCACATCGGAGATTATCTTTTTCCAAACTCACTTAGCCTTTTTATGTATAAAGACATACAGGTTTTGTTTGTTTTTTTCAAACTTGACTGTGCAAGAAACGCCCATTTTATTGTCTCTGAATGAAGCCGAGCCCGCTTCCAGCCCCACCTGTGTGGTGGGTGGGAAGGTAAGTGTGACATCCTGGTGTTTCGCGGCCTCTCGCAGAACGACCATGTCAAGGTCCTCATGCAGGGAGAGCATTCAGAGAAGTCTCCCGTCCACACCAGTTACCATGACTACTGTCGAAACCACCACGGTCCTTTGTCATCAGGATACTTTGCGGCACGTCTGGGGATAGGAATCTGGCTGGGAGCCCCTGTGGGTGGGATCCAGCTCTTCTGCATGTACCACACGTGCTCCTTTCTCAGGTTTAACCATCCACAGAGGCGCCCCGAGGAGAAAGGCGCAGGTCTCCATCTCTTAGGAAACCCACGGTCTTTCGTCCCTTTGCAAAGTATTGAATAATCTTCTTGTGTCCTTGGCTCTGTCACTTTGGCTTCTCTTTTACCTGCTGAAGGCCTCTGTTTGTCTTTCCCCTCAACTCACAACCTAATGCCCTCAAAATGAAACCTTCCAAGGAATGTTGTCTCCAGGGGATCTGGCACCAAAACCCTCCTGAGGTAAGGGAACCCAAAGACTTGTCCACCTTCCTTGAACCAGGAGAGGGTAAAACCAGGAGCGCAAAACTCAAATGAGTATCACAATACGTTCTCCTGTATAATATTTGACACATAGAATACTTAACATGATGATGATGTTATAAAGGAATAGGAAAGTTCTTTATTTCTTTACGTGTATTGGAAAGTTTTACAAATATCTTTGTCATTCCCTAATGTGTTGTCATATAAATTTGACATCAATATTACCATCAGCCAGAGTTAACCTTTCAAGTGAACAAAGTCAGCCCACCCTTCCTCTCCTTTTCCCAATTCTGATCTTGCAGCAGCCATAGGAGAGGCCCGAATTCTTCCTCTAAGCCATGGGGGGCAGCAGTGGACATTTCTCCCATAGATAGAGTGGTGGTTTCTAACCTGCATCCCCAAGGAGGACAAGATGCAGGAGGGAAAGTGAGACCAAATGTGCAGTGTTCCATGGCCCTCAGCCCCATTCCAAGCATGCCGGTTGTGTCTTTTCACCATCTTTATGAATTAAATTCCAGGTAAATTTCTTTTGAATGAAGGATTTCATTGTTTTAAAATTTTGGAAGTCATTGAAGGATCTATACAAGGATATGCCTACAACATTTGAAATTTTGAGTTAAAGGTCTTCCTTTCTCAACAGTGGAATTCTGTAGTATAGAAATGAAACTTCCCGTTAAAAATCATTTACATGTGAAAATCCCCAAATGACAGGCCAAATGTGGGGGATAGTATGATTTATTGAGATGCTCAGTTGTTTTGGGTAAGAGATATCATGGAGGGTTGTTGATACAAACCATGCTGTTCGCTCAGTTGTTCTGGGTAAGAGATATCCATCATGGAGGGTTGTTGATACAAACCATGCTGTTGCTATACTGAAATTGTGGGTTCTCAGTCAGGTGCCATCGCTCATCTGTCCACTATACAGAACAAAGTAGTTCACAGATGCATTAAGGAGCGCCAACCCACGTACTGAACCGTGTTCTCACTTAATCAGAACTTAAAAATTTAACTCTTTTTTGATACTATTTTTGGGTTATACTAATAATCATATACGTTTATATCTAACTACTGGTTCTTTTTGAGTAATTAAAATTACTCAACTTTAATAACACTTATTTTTTGGAAGGTTTTAGAATTCAAATCAGATAACGGTACCTAAAAATACTTTTTAAATGGTTAACATTATTATTTTATGTCTAGCCCAGCCAAATAACATGTAAGCTATAACATTCATTAGAATTAGTTTCCATGAGATAAGTTTAAATTAAATACTCGTATTAAATATTTTATAATGGCATTTTTATTTTAGATACTAATTTTTGCATTAGTGAAAAACAGCTGAGTAAAACTATTTCAGTGTCATTTTTAGTAATCTGTAAATGTAGCTTTCAGAACAGAGTTCCTTTTTTTTACTACTCTGCTACTATTACCCTACTACGTAAGAATATATGGTGTCTATAATGCAGTCTATATATTATCATTTCTATTAATATCGAATACTAAAATTAGAATATTCAAGTTTAGAGATGGTTTTTTCATTAGAAAAGTCCGTGCGGTCAATGCGAGAACTGGGACTTCCAACCTTGCTCAGCCAGGACTTCCTACAAAAAATAAACAAAAATTAGCATGTAAAGTATACATAGACTAGCTAAAATGATCCCACAGTGGGAGTTTATATGCAAAAGTAACTCAGTAAAAGTAATGTAAAATATAAATTTTTCAAAATTTTAATAAATTTTAGAGACTATGAAATATCAGAATACCATCGAATTTAATATATAATTAAATATGGACAAAGAAAAGCTAATAACAAATTAAGCACAGTCAACCACTGAGATCTCATATTGAGGTTATTTCCCCCCTCTTAAAACATCCAAGGCCATTACTACTTAGCTGTTGAGCTATACATAAGAGTTAAAGTGTTTTTTCTCATTACCCAGCACATGGTAGGTGACATATATAAATATATATATAGGGGAGGGAATGGACGAAAGTGAAGATAGAATGGATAAAAGAATAAATGTGATTTTCCATGAACATTAAAATTAGATGAACATTGTTTCTTATCCAAAAACCATCTCTTACCATGTGTATTAGCAAACCATATATATTAAAGGGCCATATATATTAAACCATATATATTAACGATGTGAAATTAGCGATATCCATGTCTAATTTATGCATTGTGTATTTACCCAAGATGCTTCCTATATAATTAAGGCTTATTGCAATGTACTTGATAACTCAGATACTACTGTTAATAGGTAGAAAGTTTCTAGTAAATTCTT